GTGCATCATCTGCCTGCTGCTGCTGCCCGAGCCCCGGGGCCAGCCCCTGCCGGAGAGCATGGCGGACGGAGAGACCTTCACCCGTCAAACGCTGCTCCACCCAGGAGAGCAGCACCTGCTTCTCGCCAAGACTGACGGGGACTACTCCAGAGTCCACGACACGCCGCTACACCTCACGACCACTGGGGGCGCTACGGTGGCAGCAGCAACCGCTCTGGCAGCGGTTCCTGCCTCCTACGCCCTGGCCACTGGAGGGGAGGTGATTGGAAATCATGCCATAGCCAATGGAGTGTGAGCAATAGCAATTGTTGAATACTATTGCTCAAGCATTAACTTGAACTGGAACATTTTCAAGGGAGAAAATTACTTTTCGAATGAACCAGATGAACTCTTTAACGCTGAGATTTGAGACGGTGACGATAATACATTTGTGTAGTTTGTAGTGACTATGATTCATTCAGGAGTTGCCAAAAATATTGTACAGGACGAAGTTCACCTGAAGTCAGTGTGTGTTTGATAATATGAAAGTCTTCAGTGGTGATTTGTCTTGCTCTGTGGTCCGCTTTGTCGAGAATGATTTACAGGTGAATGGAGCAGATGCAGGCAAGTGAGAAGAGCAAAGTGGAGCAGACTAGCTTTCAATAACGTGCTCTGTGACTTTTCTGTTTGACGTTTTGACTCATTGAGAGAGGATCTCACTGCATCTTATAATTCTTTATAAGTTATTTTTGCACTAAATGTCAGAGGCACAATCAAGTGTTTGGGATTTTCGGCCAACATGTTGGAGAGTGGAGACCCATGGATTGGCTAAACCACTACCACTGTTTTTTGCATGAAAGGGCACAAATTGTTTTACATGTATTTTTCTTGTTATTTGTGGTCCCTTTGCTAGAAGTCCAACGTGGCACTTTGTCCTCAGAGATGAGGTCGGGGTGGGCACTGATTTTTTAAACAGAGCCTACTGTTTCTGGTGTGGGTGTATGATGGTTTTCTCTTGTGCGGGGAACAGCCGGAGACCTCTGCAGAATGTAAGTGTAGCCTGTAGCGACTACTGAAAAAATCTGAGAGTTGAACGGACATAAGTGTGCACATGTCTTATGACGCATTTCAGCATTTTAATGGCTTTATGATGGCTCTGTTGTTTTTAACTAAACAGAGAATGACCAGTATTTATTTTTGACATGCTGCCAAGGGTAATTTTGTTGCTTGAAATACCTCCTTAACTAGCAAATATATTTCCACTCCAACTCACTCCTTGTTCTCTGTACCGTGGTAATGTTGTACTCCTGCTCCTAGGATGTGTTAGCTCTAGCCAGAAAGCACAATGTTTTACAGTTTTTTGAAGTAAACGTTTGTGAAGATTAGATTAGAGCAGTGTGTTCTGCACAGTCCTGGCCTAGTTGTTATTAGTGTACATTTATACACTTTACTACGTAAGTATCCCTTAAGCTTGCATTAAAATGTAAGGTATGTATACATGTACCATTCATTCATAATGTGTGGACCATCGACTTTTATAGAATATAAGCACATTGAATAGATACACCATTTCTTTCATCCAAATATACGTGAATCTTTTTTAATCACATTTAGTGTCAGTACGTATTTTGAACACCCTGTATGGTTTGCTAGATTGTATGTTTGACAGTTAAACACTCTGAGAAAAAAAATAACTCAACTACTAATGTCGTTTTCTAAGTGTTATTTTTTTAATATGATGCATTTGTACAAAAAGCCATAGGCCTACATGTTTTGATAATAAACCACTTAATTTATTATGTCAATAAAAGAACACTTGATGTGATTATCTGTGGTTATTGTGTTGGAGTTTGATGACAGTATGGGAAGAAAGTATGTAAGTCCAAAGAAGAACTAGAAGAAGAAGAAGAAACCTGCCGTTTCATGTTGCCCTCCTTCCTACATGTCCTCAGTTCTACACAAAACAATGTCCAAGAGTTCAGAAGTGCTCAGGAAGAAGCTCCAGCTCCTTTTTGATCCTCTTCTCCACCAAAAGACTGAAGTTGTTGTCCGTCATCGGGAGACTGTAACTCACGTACACTTGCTTTTTAGTTTTCTTTGCTGCAAAACAGACAATCATATCACTTTAGTTTCGCTAACACACTAACTGGTTTGCTATGCTATGCAGAAGGGCAGCTAATAGATGACTTGGAGTCTTGCTGAATGACTTCTTTCCAAGAAATGAATGTGCACATTTGTAGAGAACCTCAGTTTCCCACATCTGACGAATGAAGAAACGTATCGATTGGCTGACAAGATCTTATGATTGGACCCCATCAGTGTTTTGCTTGTTTTAGCCAAACATTTACAAAAGCATGCCAAAGGACTTCTGTGTGTTTTCCCCACACATCCCAAGAAGTCACAGGTTTTTTTATTTGATTCTGGTTGGTATGGAGATCGACCTGTTAAGACTTGAAACTCACATCTGGAGCCAAGCATAGTGAATATCATTATCACTTTTATTTTTGTCAAACTCGTGTATCGTTTTGTGGTTACAAAGTACATTTACCCAAGTGCTGTACTTAAGTCAAACTAACAAAGAATGTTACACTATTCTGTAATAAAAAAAAAGGGAAAAATACTTTCTGTAAAATACTTTTGATACTTGAGGTACATGTTGGAGATAATACTGTAGGCTTGTTCAAGCAGCATTCAGAATGTAGGACTTTTACTTTTAATTGAGTAGTCTTTGACGGTGCTATTTCTACTTTTACTAAAGATATAAGTACTTCTTCCACCACTGCATAGCAGAGACTTTTTAAATCAACTCACACATGAAACTGTATTAACACCTGCAGGATTTGGAGAACTGTTAACACTAAAATGAATTACAAGCAGTTTCAAATATATGGGATAAAACATTCAAAATATAAATGAATATAACCACAGCTGAAAATAGCGTTAGTGTTTAATAAGTTATTATAACTTTCTCCATTGACAGCAATAAAAAGACAATACATTTGAAGAAAAGTCAAACATAATTACCTAATCTCTGCGCCAAGGAATTTGCAGCAGTGTTAGATGGGTCCCCCATGACTAATGTTGATAAAGGCATCGAATCCTGCAGACAAAAAGCAATGAGTAGAACAGGGTTATACTCTAGGCAAGACAAAATAATTAGATATCCGACATAAAAAAATAATGCTAGACCTTGTTATTATCTGTTTGTCAGCTTTTGTTCCTAAATGTGTGAGCTTTGTGTTTGTAGTGTTATAGTCAGAACTGTACTTTACATGTCATTTGTTAGTCGCTTTTATCCAAAGCGACTAACAAACATTCAGTACTGTGGACAATCCTCAAGAGGCAATCTGGGGTGAAGTGTCTTGCCCAGGGACATAATGACATGCTGATTGCAGTGGGACTTGAACTTGCTATCCCCTGATTCGAAGTCCATCACACTGAGCCACAGCCTCAATTTTATGCAGCAGATTTATTATATTATTTAAGTATAATTTATAACACTGATGGAACAATCATATACAAATCTAACGTTTTTAATGCTTAAATAAATCAGTCCCTATATTTACAATGAAATGTGTCACACACACACACACACACACACACACACAGCAAAGTAAAAGGATAACAATACTGTGTAGAAAGTACAAAAAAGTACAAAAAGAATATTCCTTTTAATAAAACAATAAGTATTAGAGAATATACATATAACATATACATTTGTAAAAATAAGTGAAGTAAAACATATACAACATTTCCCTCAGATTTTTAGCGTAGTAACCTTTATATACAGTCTATGGTAGTAACCTATTAGTATAACGTAAACTCAAGTACAGTGGCGGGAGTGTGTACTGAAGTACAGTACTTAGTTACATTGCATCCCTATTAATTAAATTGTCTACTCACATATTTGCTGCTCATGGAGACCGCCAGGTTGGACAGAACCGGACTCGAACCGACCCACAGGAAGAACCCGCCGCTCAGCTTCATCACGTGAAAGTGTATGGACTGCTCCAAAATTTTCTCCGAAAAATTATGCACCGTAATTGCCTCAAAAACTTCTCCGTTTTGTGTCTCACTCATCTTTTTTGGTTTAAGTCTATCTAACATTGACTAGCAAACATTTAAACTCGTGCTAGCTGCAAACAGAAACAACTACTTCCGGAGGAGAGAAAAACGGCAGTCCAAAGTAATCGATCGCCAATGCTCTCACATGCAGCACCAGCACAACCGATCGTGACCATAAAACAGTCCGTGCTGAAGTGTGTATTTAAGATTATCCGTAACAAATAAAAGCAATGCATTTAAATCCAAAAATAGCAAAATATACTTCGAAATATACAACATTATTTTAAGAATAATTTTAGTGGATTATAATTATTGATGCATTAATGTGTTCATCCCTTTGCAGATGGCAAACAACACGTCAGGCTAATTTTAACTACTTTAAATACTGATTTGTAGATTTGTTTTGTATTTTCATAGTATGAATGTGAGAGTAACTTTTTTAAGTTGTAAAGTTGTAAAATAAAAAGTAAATCAAATAAATGTGCTTTATTGATGCTAAATAATCATTGTAAAATAATTTAAATTACAAGTTAATGTTATCGCCTTTTCTTTTGTTTATTATACATTACTTTGTAAGGACAAAATGAACCCCAAAGTTTAATTTTAAAAGATCGTAACTGTAGTTTTGCAATGTTGAAGTTATTAATACGGTTGTATAATTTAGCTTTGCATTAGTGTTTGATTTCCAAAAGAAAGTAGCTGCAGACATTTTACTTTATTTTGACAAAATCTTTGTAAAGGCAAAAACTAGCAGCTAATGTTACATCCTTTTTTTCCTAAATGACATAGCTTTACATTAGCAACAACTACACTTTTTTTTTTTACCGATTACCTAATGTGGGAAATAACTCACACTTGATTCACAAAAAATGTAATTACAGAAATGTTCAATTAAAATATGAAACATTTTTTACAATTAATGCCTCATGAAAACCAAGTATAAATTAAATGATCAGTAACAAAATTAATATTTTAATTTAAATATATGCAATGATATATACGCAACTCTGTTTTTTCTCGACAAAACGGTCAGTGGTTATTTCACAGTGTTAACTAATGGATCAGTCTTCCAGAAAGTCTTCCACCAGCTTGTTGAATTCATCAGCGTACCTCAGGTGGAGATTGTGTTTACCCTCTGGCATCAGGTGTAATCTAGATTAGGGACAAAAAAAAGAATCACATGTTATATTTCCTCATTTGAGGTTTTAGTATTATTGCTGTTTTTAAATGTTTATGTTTGTAGCATCTCACTGTGATCCCTTGATGTGTTTGAGAAGGTATTGTGGGTGGAAGTTGGGCACCATGGGGTCTTTCTCTCCATGAATGATGAGGGTGGGGCAGCTGATCAGGGGCAGAAGTTCCATGCAGATACTCCCTGACAAGACGACAGTAAAGTTAAAATCTTGACTGCTTTCATTACAACAAAACAAAATAAGGAAGCATCTTCAATGTGTTCTCCATGTTTTCCTTGTGCAAAAATAGTAGCGGAGATCTTGATGCTAAATGTATTTTTCCCGCATGGTTTTCCGTTTACGTATGTCCTGAATCTGCATCATCATGGTTTCAGTACCTTCGGGTCTTTTTGCATACTGTGCAATTCCATCCACCCAGGCCTTCCAGGTTTTCGCGAAGACTTCTGCTCCGTACACCTCCTCCATGGGCTGCCTCATCCTCACACTCCACCTGGAGACGTCACGGACCGCTGCGTGTTTCCAACAGACACCCATCCACACATGAGGATACACAGTATACACAGTTCACACAGTTTGGGACTACATTGTCAGTTAAAGACAATGAGAGGTAGAGAGCGTGTACCCTCGTAGAGCTCCAGGTCCTGCTGGGAAACGAAGGCGTTGGATCCCCATACAACCATCCTGCTGATCAGGTCGGGGTTCTTAGCTGCGGCCATCATGGCGGTTATTCCTCCGTCACTCCACCCCAGGAGAGAGAACTTGTCAAAGCCCAGTGCCTGACAATTAAATGAAAATTACTAAACATTCCTAACAAAGTCCTTACTTTTTTTTACGTTTGATATGCAACAAATGCAGAAATTACAATGGAATGCAATAGGTAAAACAAGAACATACTTGTGTGAACATTTGTGTGCATTGGTTGCTAAACCAAGTGTTAATTAACAAACTGTGTGTTTGATTTCAATATTATTCTCTGTGTCAGAGAAACAGGGAGAATGCATTAGATTCGAGCATTAATGCTTAGTTTTTAGTTATATAATATGAAAAAGGGGTAGGACTTAATAAGTATTTAACATAATAATACTGGGTTTTGTTTTCTTAATATGTTTTCATAATAAAGTACAATTTTAGGTTTCTTCTTTTGAGGATTTATTAGAGGAGGTATTTTTCGATATAAACTCATTCTTTAACATTTGAGGAAGAGTTTTGCTTATTTTAAGTCTATTAGGTGCTATAGAAAATATATTATGGTATGTTAATTATTATTCTGATGCCACATGGATTTCACTCCACAATCCTGTGGGTTTTTTAGCTGCTGGGACTATTTAATACTGCATTATTTGTATTTGATATCTCCTTTTTTTAGGTTGTCTTTTAATTATTATTATTATATTTTTTAATCTTGCTTTAAGTTTTCCTTTTTTTTTTTTTTTTTTTAAATGGCATTGAACTAAAATGTATGCTGATATTTACACACCATCTGTCTTCCAAACATATGATGCTACAGGCTTCTCTGCAAACTTTGCAATTCAGGTGGTAATAATTACAGTATCAACAGGCTGATCAACAGACCTTCATCAGATCCACTGCGTCCTGTGCATCCCTCTCAAAGAAGTCAGGTGGGAAGTCTCTGTCTGGGGGGCGTGACTTTCCGTAACCACGGGGATCCCATCCCACCACAGTGAAGCGCTCCTTATTCAGAGACTTCAGTTGGGGTCCAAAATCAGTCCGAGTGCACCCTGTGGAGGAACATAAAATAAAAAAGTTCTGTAAACGATATAAGGCAGAGAGAAGAAGAGGAATGTTGTTGTATTTACCCAGAGCGCCAGGAAGCAACAGCACAGGGTGTTTCCCGCTGCCTGTCTGCTCGTAGAACAGATCCACTCCATTAACACGCTGCCTGCCCAACGCCATCGACGAGCTGCAGGGAAACACACAGGTAGACTGATTCAGTAATGGTCCTGTTGATGGATAAGAACAGAATAGCTGTCTATTGAAAACGTTGGCTTTCATTGACAGTCAAAGAAAATAACAAATATGACAAGAATTACAACAATCATATAGTTCATCTTAGAAGGTAGCTGTACATAATAACATGACAACACTGTCCTTCATGTTTTTCATTGAACTTGAAAAGGTATGATCAGTGGTTTGATGCCATGCACCATTAACAACAATGACAGCTTCTGTTTGAAATGTTCTTGTGATTTTGACAGCTTATTGCTGTACGACATTGTTGTGTTATTGTTCTCAGTCTGTAGTTAGGGCATTATTACAGCTAGGTTGACTCTAATGTGAATGTGATGATTATCTGTCCTGTTTCTCAGCTTGCGACACTACACATCATTGTGATCTGCTGTTAAACAGGAGTCTTGCTGTGAGGAGGGCTTGTGACCACATGTCAGGAAGGGGAATGTAATAAATACATGCTGCACAGATAAAGCGACCGGGTACAACATTTAAACAAAACAAAAAGTCACAGAGGAAAATGCTCCAGTTAAGACGAAGTCTTGCTGATTTGTGCAGGTACTGTGTCAACATGTCCTGATAGAGAATATTCTGTAGGCATTTGGCAGAACTTCCCCTGAGATATTATGTGTTATTGATTTTATTTGTTATTATTGACTGATGATATTTGTTTTATGATGTAGAACTTGACGTTATTTAAATAAATGTGATAATTTTAAGCATGGCCTGGGTCATTCCTAGCATTCGGTGCCATTTAGGTCCCCACCACATTATATCATATATTTTGTATTTAAAAAGTCTAATGCTTATTTTTCAAAAGCTTTGTTTTAAATGTTTATACCCTCTACCATAAAACAACAATGTTATTTAGCCAGGATATTAAAAATTCTAAATAATTACTCTGATTTTAGAACAAGTAGGCCAAATTGCTGTGTCCCCAATCATGTTTGCTCAACTTCTGTAACAGATATACAAAAAGAAATCAAAGAAATACAAACAAATTCTACATTTTTGTGAGTGTTGTATGACCCTTTTGCTAATATTCCTCACCAAATTGAAATTGTTGTTATTAATTCATTTGTATTGAAAATAAAGTGTGTGCCCCCCCTGTTACTGGACAGGCCCCTTTACTATTCTACTATTTGTATGACTCAAGAAGAAGAAGGATACATTTTGAGTGGGAAATAATCTTCAAGAAGCAGAGTGAATGCGTTCTTCCTTCAACGTTTTTCTAATGTTTTAAAGAACTTAACTATTGCGGTAAAGCATAAAATGTCCACCCTGTTATGCTCATTTCTGGTGGAACTGATCATTTGTTTTAGATTTAGAAAATATGGTGAATATATCTATCAAATATATGTTTCTGTTGTCACCAAGTGCTAGCTTGATTATCATAACACATGTAGCAATAGCCAAGTTTAGCATAAAATGTCCAACCTGTTACCGTCCACCCTGTTACTATTTTTCACAGTAACAGGGTGCACA